GTTCTTGAAGCCACGGGTGGCAAACACAAGGCCTGCAGGCCGAATCCCACCCTCCACCTTGTCTCTACCTGGCAGCAGTGCCAAGCCCTCACATAACTGTTACGGAGTAGTTAGATTTATACAGCCCTAAAATTATATTTGACCCTTTGAAGGCAACTGCGAGGCTGATGTGGCCCCAGTGAAAATGAGTTTCACACCCACGAGGACTCTGTCTTGTGCTGTGCTGGGTGCTGGGCTGTAGGCGCAGCGCCATCCACCGGCCCTCAGACTCTGCTCAGCAGACACGGAGCAGAGTACCTGACGTTCATAGTTGCAGATAATGCTAATAGAAGCTCCACACGGGAAGGTTCATCGTGGCATCGTTTGTACCAGCTGGACAGTGTCACCCGCCCGCCCCCCGCCCCCGCCCCCCCGCCCCTCTGGTCTGGGAACACCTCTGAATTACTTCTCTGTCTCTGACAGGCTGCCATCTCCTTAATGGTGTTAGAGAGGAACAATGTGCGGAAGTGCTCCTGGCATACTGTTAAAAGATTACAAATTGTTGATATCCTGGGTCTTAGTCCATTTGTGCTGTAATGATAATACTAGCGACTGGGGGCTTAAACAACACTTATCTCACAGTTCTGAAAGCCGGAAATCTAAGATTGGGAGCCAGTGTGGCCAGGTTCGGGTGATCTCCACCTTCTCCCTATGTCCTCACAGGGTGGGAAGAGCCAGTGGGCTTTCCAGGGCACTGATCCCATCATGGGAGTCCCCCCTCAAGAGCCAGTCGTTCAGAGGCCCAGCTGCAGATGTGATCTCCCTGGGGCTTAGATTTCGACATAGGAGTTCGGGGGGCGGGGGGGAGGACACAGACCTTTACTCCATAACACAATTTCGTGTTTAAGAAGTTTTCAAGCATAACAGAAAGCTTAGATATTGCATTAGTAGCAAAGCATTGAGTACTTTTACTTTCAAGTTACAGATTTCTTTTTCTGTGTGCCTTTTTATATTTGTAAAATCATAGCTAGCTCCATTTGCTCCACTTATAATGGAACAAATCTAATAACTTTTTAAATTTTACTATCCATTAATCTTGCCTTTTGGCCTGTCCAGTAGTGTCATTGTGGCACTTATGTCTCATTTGTGTGGTCACCTGTTTGTGTGCCACAGCTTTTCTGTTGGTAAAGATTTCATCCGAGTGAAGCACCTGCATTTGACGGGGTCCTGGGTGGCTTCTGTGTCAGGGGCTGTGGCTGCCTGCCATCCTGGGTTTGGGTGGGATCCCAGCCATCCCTCCCACCCGCGAGGCCACCTGGCTGACCTGCGAGTCTGGGTTTTCATGTCCTCATTTACCAGATGAGCATGGAAGTACCCACCTCCAGAGTCATGGGGAGCTTTCACGTGAGCCAATGGAAATAAAGCCCGGCAGAAACACGGGTTTGTACTTGTCTGTATGACCTGTCCCAGCTGTGGAGTGTCAGTATGCATGATGGCGATGAAATGTTTTCTACTTCCCACGGCAAGGAGCTGTCCTCGTAGAGGAAGGTGACAAGGAAGGGAATTTGTCTGGAAGTGCTACCATAATTCTAACCCCTAGGTCCAGAAACAAGAAGGAAAAGGTCTTTTTTAGAATCTGGCCTGGTGAGGGCTGGCGGGGGTCCCAGTGACCTCTGACCTGCCAGCAAAGCACATGCTGTGTCACCCTGAGCAGATCCCTGGCTTCGGTGGGAAATTCTGGACCACGACGTGACACCTGGAAACCCATACCCCGCCTGACTGTCAGTACGTGGCCCGTGTGGGGACACTGCCAACTTTATTTGGCAGAAACTCCACTCTAGTCTAAGGTGTGTGCATACCTGGGGAGGAGGTCTGGAGACAAGACAGAGGCTAACCTGCCTTTTCCTGCAATCAGAAGAATTCAGCTCGTTCCGCAGTTGATGCAGATGGTTGTTTATTGATGAGTTTAAAGCAGCTTTTCCCTTTTCTCTGAGGGACTAGCCGTCCTTTGGCTGTCATTAATTTAAATTGTGGTTTTTGCTTCTAAGTGAGTTAATTGTGAATCCTTGGAAACTTTCTGTCACGTGCTGTAGGGTGACGGACTGGTACCAGCTGTCAGTACTGATGACATTTCCCTGGTGGACAGGTTGAACTGCTTGTAATGTAATAATGTTAAGCTAAAAAGGTTGTAAGAGTTTTTTAAAGTTTTGTTTAGAATGAACTGGTATCCCCGAGTCCTGTGGGAAACCCAGATTTACTCTGCATTCCCTGTGTTTTCTACCCTGGACCAGATGCGTGGTGTGTAAGTCGAGCTGTGGTGTAACAGTGGGAGGGCCAGCCCTGAGCAGGCGCTGGGGTGAGCACCGGGCCAGGGGTGAGGGGCAGTGCACCTCCCTCCTCACCTCCTGCGCTCTCAGCTCCTAGCCGACGCAGACCTGCTGACTGCACTGGCTCGCGGTGGCTGTGTCATCATCGCAGTGAGAACACAGAGTGCCGTGAGTAAACAGACCCCCTTCTGGCACTGTGGCGGGGCTGCGCCCAGGTCTTGGGTCCTCTGCACAGTCTGTAATGCGTCACCTTGGACTCCGCAGCCCTTCCTCAGGAGTGGGGATGGTTTTGAAGTGAAAATTTTGAAAAGTAGAATCCACAATTTCAGTCTGAGAGGGTGTGTGTGTGAAAGCTGACACAGACCTTACACCCCGGTCAACTGTCTGGATTCCACTGGTGCCTCTTTCCCCCCAAAGTATGTCACATGTCTGGGCCAGAGCATGCTTCCCATTCCCATTCCTGAAACATTTTAATGTAAGCAATTTATAGACTTAGAAATTTCAGATTTTTACGTGGTAGGGACCTATTTCTCTCTCTTGAGCCTGCCTCTCTCTGGGAAGGTGCTGAGGGTAGCCACACCCGACAGCCTCTGCTTACTAAGTCATTTTCCTGCAGAGTGGGAGTGCTGAAGATAAAGCCAAAAGGTTTCTTGTCTCTCTGTTTTTAGTCCCTTGAGAAGTTTCTTAACATGGAGCATGAATTCTGGCTATATAGTGTGTTAGTATGTTAAAGCATGTCTGATTTCAGACCTCAGTTTTACTTACAGCATACGTTCTACTAAGCTAGTCAAACACAACTGACCAGCTTCAGAGAATGGGTTGGTATGTATACAGGAGAAGCACAAATACTTGTAGATTTAATTAGAACTCAGGTAATATTTAATGCAGTGTCCAAATGCCTGCAGTGCCCACTCTTCACTGGATATTACCATGCATTATTTGCAGCTTAGACGTGTGTCTCTGTGTGAGGAAAGCCTGGCAGACATAGTACACGAGCTCTGTTTCCTCTCCAGTCCTTTTTCCTGGGAGCGTGGCCCAATTGTGGGGGTGGGAAGTTCAGCAGGCCACCCAGTCCAGTCTTGGTCATTCCACCTGGCTGGCGACCAGTGTCCTTCCTGTCCTGATAAGGGGAGGGTGTGGGACTGGAAGGGGTCAAGTGGGAGGCTTGCACTGACTTAGATTAGTCCCAGTGTCATCTGTACTGCACAGTGGGCTTCTCAGTCCACTCATTCAGTATGAGCGGGGCAGCACCCTGTCTCCCCTGGAAGGGCCTTGGGGGTGGGCAGGGGTAGGAGGGTGTGCACCTGAAAAGACAGAAGACCCTGGAAACAGTCAGCAGAGCAATCCTCACATCTCAGGCTCATGGTGCTAGTGGTGCTGTAGCCTCTGTCCTTTTCCTGTGAGGGACACAGAGCACACCACCTACAAGACATTTGGTGGTTGGCAGACTGGGCCCAGGACCCTCCCTCGGATTGGCCACGTTGTGCAAAGGTTAGATGGTAGCCTGACTGGTTAGTACAGGCTGGCCAGTGGGTGAAGAGACTGGGCTCACACTGCCTTCTGCTGGACCCCTGAGACGCTCTGCTGGCTGCAGCCCCCCATCTCTTTGTTCGATGCAGGATGCTAATTTCTTTTTGTTATTGTTGTGTTTCTACAAAGGGCTGTCGGCTTGTGTTCACCTGTGTCTCTGACAGGTGGGCTACACACCGTAGCATAAATGTGCCCAATTAGAACACACAAGTTTTTCGTGTTTTCTAGGGAGGAGTCAGACAGCTCAGCTTTGACAGACACATGCTTTGAGGACAAATACTTAACCACTATATAAAGTAGTACCTGGAGTTGAGGTTGGAAATTTGTTTGTTTTTTTTTTGTACAACTTGGCATGGAAAGAGAGCAGTTGGCATTCATGAGTGTAGTGGGAAGACTTCATCCGTGTCCCGTCCTGCTGGTGTCATCGCTAACCAGGTGTGTGAGCAGGTCAGCGCTCCACTCTGTGTAGGACCGCCATAAATGTTACCTGCAAAAGTGAAACCAGTAGACTTACAGGTTTCCACTTAAAAGCTCTTTAAGATATAGCTGTTTAAATTTTGTTTCTGGGTCTTCACTGTCACTGAGATGAATTGCAATAATGTTGAACATCCTTAGTGTGAATGTAGGAGACATTTTTGTTACCTTTTTCTGGCTGTCGGTGTTAAAAGTTCATAAAGGAAGCTACACTTGCTCTGTAATCATGAGTTTTTATATTTGTAGTTTAAATTTATATTTCCTCCCCAAGATCTAATTTATGGCTAGGAATAGCATATAGCTACCAAAAGCTAGTAACTTCAGATTTCTTAACACTTTATTTCTAAGGAATGGTCCTAAGCACATCAGTGTATGGAGTTGGGTATTTATATTAAAAGATCTCTATTTGGCTGGGGTGGGGTTAGTGGTTGGGGGAGAATGCAGACAACTCTAATTAAACAATGAAATAATTTTTAAAAAGATCTCTGAAACATTTATTTTTATAGTTTGGTGGAGCAGATGGTTAAATAAACTGTCATACAGGACACTGCACTGTTAGGAAAAGGGTTTTGGCTTCATGTCTGTTTTAAAGCTCAGAGTTAGTCTTTACTTGACTGTACTGAATGGGAGCGTTATTTTTATTTGCTTTTCAAACCAAGATGGCACAAATTCTCTGTTGTCCTCTAACAGGAATCTACGACTATAGAAGCCAAGGTGGAGCTGTCCTGGTCTGTGAGGCCGCGTCAGTGGAGGGAAATCGAGGACAAAGTCCTGTCCTGTGTCCCACCCTGGCCAGACGCAGTGCAGAGCCCGCAGCGCGCCGCTCAGGGCAGCGGGTTTCTGGGGTACGCCAAGGGGACCAGGGTGGTGCTGGAAGGTCTTCCCCCCACTTGTGGTGACAGGCATGTGGGACCAGGTTTGGGGTGTGTGGTGGCAGCTTCACTGATTAGAAAGCCAGGGTGATGATTGACAGGGATTATAGACCGTCTTTGTAGCCCCGGGGGACAGGATCAGGATTGGGGTCAGAGATGGAAGGGAGCTTTTCAGTTTCCTGCAAGTAAGAACTTTGAAGCACCTGATGCCCTTCAGTGAGGACTGTGGTACCTTTAGGAAGAAGTGCCCCATCTGCAAAGCGGGCACCAGGCCGGGCCACCATGAGTCAGGGTGCAGAGGCTTCTGCACAGGTTTCTACCTGGTGTGAGGTGCTGGGCCTCTGCTGTGACCAGGAGTTATAGCCAGGTATGTCCTTGGACATAAAACCTCCGAGTCTGCTCCTGGCTCTGGTTCGCTCCTGGCGTGCCTGGCTTCTAGCAAATATGTAAACACGTGGGACTGCGCACAGGTGGAGTAGGTAACTAGGTCTTCTGATGCTGACTAGTGAAGGACTAGAAAGGCTGAGCACATGGGTCGAAATGCCTTTAGAGTTTTAGTTTATTGTAAGAGGCAGGGAGTGGTGGGAGGGAAGATACCCTGAAGCCTAGTTTACAGCTTCATAGCCTTGGCTTACTGGCAGTTCCCAAATGGTCAGCCTGGAAGTTGATCAAAGCAGGGTGTTCTGACTGTAATTCATGGCCACATAGCAGCAGGGGCGGTGACGACGCAAGAGAAGTACAGGAAACATGGGCTCCGTGCTCTCGCTTCAGCCTTGTGGTGTCCTGTCCTCGCACCTGCTCACAAAGCGCACTTGACACTGGGCGACAGGGCAGATGATGAGGAACTTCCTGAGCACTGATGCCGACTCCTGGAGCTTCGTTTCATTTCTGATTGCTTTCCTTTTCATTCAGTAGCCCAGTGGAATTGATAGAGGATTTGTCCAAAAAACAAAATGATGCAAGTGAGAAGTAGACCCAGTGGGAAGGGTGTGTGTGTGAAGCTGGATTCCGACTCACTGATGTCTGAGAACCAGCAGAGTTGGGGGTGGGCTTGGAGCAGGCAGCATGGCCTGATCACTCAGGTGGGTTTTTGAAGGAAACCTTGGCAGCCTGGTTATTTTTAAGCTGTGCGTAACTCTGAATTGATAGATATTTCTGAAGATGCTCACTTAAGTAACTAGACTGTTGGGTTAAACAAACATCCCAGGACTTTTATTTTTCCACATGAAGGCAGCCACCTGCAGAGGCAGTGCTTCCTCTGAACCAGGGTCCCCAACCCTCCCCCACCCCCCCACCCCCCCAACCATGGATCCATAATGGTCCTTGGCTTGGTAGGAAACGGGCCACACAGCAGGAGGTGAGCGGTGGGCAAGCAGACACAGCTTCACCTCTGTTTACAGCAGCTCCCATCACTCACAACACCTCCTGAGCCCCACCTCCTGTCAGGTCAGCGGCAGCATTAGAATCTCACAGGAGCGCCAGCTCTGCTGTGAACTGCGTATGCGAGGGATCCAGGTAGCGCACTTCTTATGAGAATCTAATGCCTGGTGGTCTGAGGTGGAGCTGAGGCAGTGATCCCAACACTGGGGAGCGGCTGCAAACAAAGATTATCATTAGCAGAGAGGTCTGACCGCACAGAGACCATAACAAATCAATTGCTTGCAGACTCATATCAAAACCCTATAAACCCTATCAGTGAGGGGTAAGTGGCAAATGACAATAAAGGCACCCCCGAACCCCCATCTGTGGAAAAATTGTCTTTCACAAAACGGGTCCCTAGTGTCAAAAAGGTTGGGGCCCACTACTCTAAACACTTTGGAGTAACTGTTTTAGAATCAGTTTACTTCTGCTTTAAAAGCCTACAGAGAAATAAATGGTCCTTTGTGGCTTTTGGCTGAATCAAACTCTGCTCAGGGAATAAAGATGGACAGCCCCAGAGTCCTTGCTGAGTGCTCTTACTGCCCAGTGTGTTCTGTTGTGTGTTTAAAGTCAAAACAGTCATTTCTTCAAAGCTTTCCACTCCATGTCTCTTTGAGGACAGGCGTCCTTTCTCAGTTCTCAGTTGAGGATTGATTTATAGCTTCACCCATGTTGATTACTTTTAAATCTAATCTTGATTCTGCCTAGTATTTGTGGATTACTGGGCTTCTGAAGACAGTGCAGATGCAGGGGTGTCCAACCTTTTGGCATCTCTGGGCCACACTGGAAGAAGAGTTGTCTTGGGCCACACATTAAATACATTGCAACATATAATCACACAAAAAAATCTCAGTGTTTTAAGGAAATTTGCGATTTTGTGTTGGACTGCCTGCACAGCCACCCTGGTACGCATGCTGCCTGCGGGCCACAGGTTGGACACCCCTGGTGGAGTGAGTGTTTCCATGAATCTGAGCATCGCTTTGGTTCCACACTTGACCCTCAGTAGTGACACGATGGGAACTCAAACAGCCTCCACCCCTGGGAAGTGAGAACTACGCGGTCCTGTCCCCGGAGCAAGATTGCACAGTGCTAGGCGTGTAGGTGTGACGGGACCCACATGTCCCATTAGATGGATTTTCACAGCACCTCACCAAGGAGGGGACAGCAGGGTATCAAAAGAGTGGTGGTGAATTGCATGATGCTACCTGCGAGCCTTTGAACACCTGCTTGGTAACAGTGAGGCGAAGCAGGGGGGCACTCAGTGAAAACCAGAAGGTTTGGTTGACTGATGCTGAGCTCACTGTGAACTGGCAGTCTGGGCTTTTATGCCCCACCCCCTCAGGCGGTGCTGCGGAAAGCCCTTCCCGAAAGCCCCAGCCTAATTTCACTATCAGCCACTTAACCACAGTATTAATGTTTTCAGTGGCTGAGCTTGTAAGATTTGAAATTACCATATGGGTTGGAAAAAGTTCTGCAACTGAACCAGAACAGTCTGTTAGTTAAACAGCACACATTTTTTAGTACCTTGAAGTTATTTGACATTGAAACATGCTCTTTTTAAAAAATCTGCCCCCTTGTTGTAGAAAAATGGATTATACCTCGTGGTATTTTTTTCCTATAGGAAATAATGTGACCAGTAAATGCAGAATTTCAAAAAATTCTGAGTTTTGGTAAAAATGCAACTCAAATTACATTTTTGACAAAATTCCCTGTGCCTAACACAGTGACACTGAAGTTGTGACAAGTGGTTGTGGTTGGAAAACCTAGCCCACTTCGCAGGCTGTCCCGGCTCAGAGCGGAGCCTGCCGGCCCACCGCGTGGGGCCAGCCTGTGTGTGCCTCCGCCCACAGCCCCTGGGTGGTTCTGCGGGTGAGGAGCAGTTTATATTTCGTTGTCTTTTTTGTTTGTTTATTTTAGTGCCATGTTTATGGAGTAAAATGCTTTCTTAAATACAGAAACTACATTTTCTGTGGGTAAGAACATACACCTCATCAGACTTTCCCCTTTGAAGAGTTCTTACATTCCTGTAAAATTGTGTTAGAAGTTGGAAATTTGACTTTCTATGTAGTAATAGCTTTTGTTCCGAATAAAGATGCATTTTGTGGATCCAGTTGGCATTAACGGTTGTTAGGCATCTTGCAGATAGGAAAGTAAAATGTTTATGCCTGATGCTTGTCTTACAAGGTGGGAATGGGACGTGTGCGCTCATTTCAGTAGGTGGGCAGTATCTTCAGAGTGGGAGGGGTTGGGTTGAGTGTCCAGGGAGGACTGGGGCACCGAGGGTGGAGCAGTGTGCTTCTGAGTGTTCCCTCCCCTCGGGCCCCCACCAGTTCCAGGGGCACCTTCGGGAGACCCCAGCACGTGCTCCCAGAGGGTGGGGTGGATGGAGCAGACTTCAGTCTGGTTTGGATCAGTGCCCCCATGGGGCTGCCAGGCTCACTCTTCCAGGGTTGTTCTCCTGGGACATGACACCAGATATGATGGTCACTGAGATTAAAGTTAGGGCACTTTTTGATGAGTAAATTTAATGGTATTTTGGGAGAGTAAGGCATGGATTTTGAGACCTGGAGTCATGTTTTGTGTTTGCCATTTATTTTTCTATTTACGTCACATGGACACACTTGTAAAAATAATATCACTAGGCATTTGGTTTGCTGTAAGATGGTGCTTATCTTAAATAGACTGAAATGCTGACTGTGTTGTTACCTTCTGCTGTATCTTTTACCGAGACACAATTTTGCCCAGCAAACCAAATGTCATCCTATTAGAGAGACTTTCTCTGATCACCCTAAAATAGCACCCTCACACAAAGGCACTGTCCACCCCCTGCAGCCTGCTTTGATTTCTCTTCATAGTACTATTTCCACCTGACCTTCTAGATATCATTTCTATAAGATCAAGGATTTTGATTTTGTTTTGTTCCCTGCTATATCCCCAGAGTCTAGGATGATGCCTGGTACAAGTAAGTGCTCAATTATATTTGTTGAATGAGTGAATAAATTAAATGAAATTATGCATATGAAATGCCTCACAATATCTGCACATGGTAGGAACTCAATAATTGTTAACAGTTACTGTATCAGTACAGGAGTTAGGAAACATACTCAATTTTATATGTTTCTTGTCAAAGAAACCTTTTGGAGGTGCTTCTTTATGTTTTTATATAAAAAACAAATGTCTTCAAGCTCTTCTTAAAAGGGTATTTACCAGTTTTACACTTCGCTTGATTTGTGTACTGAAAGACATTTCATGGATTACAGTTGTGTGGTCACGAGAACAAACCACTTAATGTACAAACAACCGACTGGAGTTTCGGGGGGGTGCCACTGTCACTCAGAAATGTGTTCTCTAGCAATTGAGATAATTGAGTTATAGATGCTTTGTCATCTCAGACTTCCCAGGGAAGAATGGAAAAGAATTGAGCTTCTCAGTGGTCATTTTATTATAAAACATTTATTCTTAATTTATATAATCTAGTTAACATGGGTCCTCCTTTTCTTAATATCTTTCTTTTAACCGCTTTCCTTTAAATATTTGCTCAAAAGCCACCCTGTAGGTGAGGCCTATTCTGACCACTCCCCCTTAACTCCCTGAACTGCTGCTCTGCCTTACCATTTTATTTTTTTAAACCATAGCCCTTGGCACCTTAAAAGTTATTCTGTCATTTACTTATTTACAAGGTCTGTCCAGAAAAAGTCCAACCATTGTTAATATAACGAGAACAGTTTGCATGACATCAGTGTAAGCTGGCAGCCAAGGAGAGTGGACTGGAATGTACATGTGTGAACAATGACGACTCCAAGGTACTAGTCGGTGGGGGTGGTAGATGCCGTTGAGTGAGCATGTGTACTGTGTGGCCGATGCATTCAAAATGCAACTAATCTGCATGAGATTTTGTGTTAAGTTTGAACATTCCTCTGTGGAAACTATTTGGATAATTCAGAAGGCCACTGCTGTGGGCAACTGGTAATTGGCAGCTTCATCCACTCATGCATCAGGTCTCCCATGCAGAGTTTTTTTTGCGAAACATCAAATCTCCCAGGTGACTCAGCCCCCCTACAGCCCAGACTTAGTGCCCTGTGACTTCTGGCTTTTCCTGACACTAACGTCACCTTTGAAAGGGAAGATTTCAGACCATCCATGGGATTTTAGGAAAATATGATGGGGCAGCTGATGGTGACTGGGAGAACTGTGTGCAGTCCCAAAATGCTTACTTTAAAGAGGAATCAGGTATCATTTTCCTGTGTACAATGTTTCTTGTATCTTCAGTAAATGTCTCTACCTTTCATAGCACGCGGCTGGATACTTTCTGGACAGACCTTGCATGCATATGGTCTGTATCTCTCCAATTGAAGAGCTTACAAACTTCACAGGAGTGGGAATTTTTATCCGTTTTATTTGTTTATCTATCCCCAGGACCTAGAACATAGTCTGCGACCTATTGGAAAAAAATGTTTTAAAGAAAAGAAAGACCTTTTTTAACCCCTCCCCCAAGAGAGAAGATATTTTGTCACTTCAGAAGTAGTCTCTGAAATTTATGTGAAAAATGCACTGTATTAACTGACATTAAGACTACCGTTTTATAATATAGAAGATGCCTTTTAAAGTTCTCAAAATAGAATTTTCACCCTATAATCCTACTTTTTAACCATATATTCTGTGTCATATTTGTTAGGTTTCATTGCAGGATGAGTGTTGTCATTCATTTTAGGTTTGCAGATTGAAGGAACCAGAACAGTATTTGCCTCTAAAAAAAAGTTCTTTAAAAAGCTAAATGATGATAGATTGAGTTAGAGTAGCTCAGGCAGATCAGTCTCCTTTGAGAAAGTTCACTTACATTGTGTGTATCACTTACTCTATATCAACTTTAAAACAATAACCTAAGTGTACACTTGGCACTCTCTCACAGACCCGGTGTTGGGGCCCATGAGTGTGTGCTCAGCCTGGTCTGACTCTTCGTCCTGGGCTGCTGTGACTCCTCTCACTCACACGGGTTCTCTGAGGACATGTGTGGCTCCCTTTCCCTTCTCTCTGCTCAGTACTTCTCAGGGTCTGGGCTGTGCACCAGAGCCATGTGGGGAGCTCGTAGAACACAGGTTGAGGGCCTCCCGCAGACACAGCACCTCCTGTCACCCTGCCTTACCCCTGGGTGTATGTCTATGTTTATTTATAGTAACAGCTTATTTAAGCTACTGAACTTTTCTTTCGTGGAGAAGAAACATCTATTTCTCTCCTTTACTTCCTTCCCTGAAACAGCAGGCATTTATCTCTAAGGGGAGCAGTTGGATTTGGCCACCAAGGTTCCATGTTTCCTTTTAGCGGCTGACAAGGTTGACCAGTTCCCTAGGTCCCTGAGCGCTAGTCTGGATTAGCTGACTTCCACCTGAACTGGCTTCCTTGATGGTGCTCCAGATGCCGGTTCGAGCCCAACCCTTTGAAACCACATACACTTACCAGCCTTCTGCTACTGCCGGGGCAAAGTAACCAGGGAGTAGTTTTGCTTTATATCAAATTACTTACAAGTATCCTTCTCCAGAGGAAACAACGTTTAGTTAAAATTTACCACTTAACCCACAGAATATCAGCTTTGTGGGGGCTGGGCTTGGCCTCTCTGGTAGCTGTGCCCATCACCGGCTGGGACTGTCTGGCACATGGGCGGGTACTCCTACTTGCTGGTGAGTTAGTGACTATCTCGACTATCAGGTAACTTCAGCAGTTTTTACTAGTGTACCATCTTTGTAAAACAGTCTGTATTTCACGGATTTTCATGGGATAGTTGGCATTTTCTCTATTTCTGACTCTAGGATTGAAAGCAGGTTGCTCTTAAAGCCGCATGTAGTGAGGAGTGAGCAGGCTCTGAGGCCCAGGGAGGTGGGTGATGGTGGCTCTAAGTGGCCAGGGAGTGCCCCAGTCGCTGGCCTGGTCACCTGTATATATATATGGGCAGGTTCAAAGCACCCTGCAGGCTCTGGTGTGAAGTAGGAGTTCTGGAAGAGATGCTTCCCTTCCCCTCAAGGGTGAGATGACTTTGAAGAGCTTCGACAGTAGAAAAGAATGCTTGATTGCTGATAGTATACAAAAACCAGTCATGATTGGTACCTGCGATGGGGTCAGTCCTTCAAGAGCCCTAAACCCAGGTACAAGGAGTCAGCTATTACAGGACCCCCTGGCATCACCTCCACCCTGAAAGTGTGTTGTTCTGTCACTTTCGTCATTTAAAATTTAAATTTAATAGACTTACATAGTAACAGTAGAAATATTTGCATGACAGAGGTTCAGCCAAAGCGATTTTGATATGGTCGGATGTGTGTTCAGGGGACACGCCTGGCTTATCCTGAAGTTCCCCGTCGTCAGCTGCATGTTCTCCACGCCTTCCTTTCCAGGCAGTTCTCCCCTGGCTCAGCTTGGAGTACAGGTTGTTCTGGCGAAGGTCTGGGTGTCTGTCTGCAGGCACCCGCCCGTGCCCCCCATTCCACACACGGGCCCTGCCCCTCGAGGGTGCTGCATTTGTATCATCGTAGTGGAATTCACTTTGGTGGGAGTTGGGGCAGGAGCATTGAGAAGACTTGGTTAAAACTCTTCAAGGAGTTCACTTTTAAGTGCTTTTATAGAAGCTATGACGCTGTGATTCAACATCAGTTTTACTTAATAAAATACATGAAATACAAAGTACAAATTTTTTTTTACAAAATAGGAAGCTATGTTCATGTTATTGTGAGATCTGATTAGTATAGGGTTTTAAACTTTTTGTGGTGGTCAAAATGGAGCGTGTGAGTTGCGAGTAGTCCCATGTGCCCAGTGAACAGTAGTAGGTCACCGCGGTGCCTGCGAGAGGGCGCTCCAGCCCGTGAGTCTCACGGCTCCTGGGCCGCCTTTCTGCCCTGCTCCCCTTTTCCCAGGGCCGTGGAGACTCTTCCAGTGTGTCTCTTCCCCCTCATTTTTGGGGGTTTTTTGACTGTCACGTGGCTTCAGTGGCTCCATTAACAAGTGGGTGTGCACATTAGTGACAGCTTAATGAAAGGGAAGCTTCCCTCTTTTTTCTTTAAGAAAAATACCTTTACCCTCACACCCAGAACATTTTCTGTCCCACGTGGGGGTGCAAATGTGGATCCGCTGACTGCGTCACTGCTGCGACGACGAGCCCCTCAGCAAGGCTTGCGCCTGCCCTGTGGTGGCGCGGCGGGGGGAGCGCAGCCTGCGCCCACCGCTGCAGGAGCAGAGGCTCCACTTGCCCGTTGTCCTTTGTTGGGCTCACTTACTTGGCTTTGAATGGAATGGCCATTTTTTTCTATATTCCTCTGAGCTGTTTGAAGTTTTTCCTAGGAATTTTACTTTGTATGAAGATGAAAGTAGTTCCCATACTGACCACCTCAATTTTTATGTTCTCATATGTTTTCAGTATATTTCTTTGGTGGTATTTATTTTACTATTTTTTGTGTTTGCCTTTCTGAAGTGGCAGTATGTGATTGATTGGCCAGGAAATTTTTGAATTTTGCAGTGCTGGCTCCCCAGGTTTGAGAAACGAAATTGTTCCATGTTTCTTACCCTCTGTAACCAGCACCGTGTGGTTACCAAGCCCAGACTGAGCCACGGGGATCTGGGATGCGTTTTGTAGCTCTGAAGTCAGGGAGCACCAGAAGCGTGAATGCGTGTGTGAGAGGGCCTTGCTGTGGCTGAACTGTCTACATGATCCCTGGAAATGATGTGATTTTCCTTCTTGTTCTGGTGCAGCCTCCATGCGACAGTCTCAGGCCCTCCCTGCAGACCTGCGCCCAGAGATGTGGATCGCACAGGAGCTGCGGCGGATCGGGGACGAATTCAACGCCTATTATCCACGGCGGGTAATGACATTTTCTTTCTTACCCCCCTTCTCCACACACCCTCCCTCTCCCAACCGTACAAAATAAAGTGGCCAGTAATCATTCCATGCTTGTTCTGGAAGTAGCAGGTACTACTGCCTGTGACCTACCATTGTTCCTACTCTCATTTTCCATTTGTGTTACGGCTGAACCGAAGTGATGGTGGTTCAGTAGAGCCTCGTACAAGGTGGCACAGGGGTCCGTAAGCACAAGTCTTAAACCCTTGTGCCAAATAGGGTTATTTGTGTGTTTGAAATAGTCCCACATCAATGTTGACATAATTTTTAGTCTCTATTAGGTATGTCTGCACTCCCTTTAGTCAGTTTGGTCAAAGTTAAAGAAATTTTTAACTTTCCATCCTCACCGAGCCAAGGAAATGATGCCCTGGGTTTGCTGGCGACATCGTCCTTTCAGCCCCACGGCTGTCCTTGGGCTGTCCTTGGACTGTCGTGTACTGAAGTGTACTAGGATTAGGAGGGCATTCATTAATAGCTGGTAGTTTACACCCCAAATTGCCTGCCACTTAAATTTTTGGAGTATGCTGTTGATTTCTTTTTGGTTTTAATTAAGCCCTACGTGTTGCTCTGTAGATGCAGTGTGGGTTTTTTTGCTTTGCGGGTGTCAGCGTAGTTATCATTCGGACACCTTTTCCCTGTGAAGACATTTGCACGTTTGTAGGCTTTAGCTCGGTGAGTGAAACGGGCTCTGGTGCGCGTGTCGGACTGCTTCCCGTGAGGGGCCCTCCGGCCACTGTGTGAGCGTGCACACTTCTGGCTGGGTCGCACGTTCTGTCGGGCAACGATGTATGGAGGAGTGTCTTGTTGATTTATCTAAAAGGAAAACACTTAAATCATATTTTGTACAAACCACTTGTTAATGTTCTTTCTTACTGTGTCATTTCCCTTCTGGCTCCTTTCCTTCTGAACCCTGTCGTTTCATCTAAGTACTCTCAAAGACATTTTTAAGTCTGTTTTTCCTTCTGGAGGGAGGTCATGCCTAGGACACCCCACTATTTCTATACTGCACTAGATGTTAGTGCTGTTGCTAGGTAAATGGATGTTACCTGTTAATTGCTTTTGATCATTCTTGTTTTCCTGTCCATGTGTGTACTATGCCATTCAGGCTGTTTTAAACATACGGAGACAGGTTCCCGTTACAAAGGAGTCTTTCATTTCTTCAGTGTAGAATCTCCATGAGGGGGCTAGGGACTTTCAGAAAAGTCACAGTGGACCCTTTTCACACCTTCCTAAGGAAGAAGAGGGTGTGTATGTGGTGTTTGATGGGAAATGTGCTATAGTATGATTCTGTCATTAAATGGGAAATGCCACTTAAGAGTTTCTTATAGTGCTGTCTTTAGCTGGCGAAATGTCTGGCGTCCTACACTTGACATGGACCAGCTCATGGAACGTAAGTTCCTTCTCAGCCTAGATCTGAAGTGGTCATTGTGTTTTGCAAGATTGTTTGTTTTATGATGTGCCGGTAATGTTACTGTCTCCCGTTCCCTCTGCCGTGGTCTCTCTGAAGGGGCTTTGGTGGTGTCACTGTGTGTGGCGGCCCAGCCTCTGCTGCTCAACTAGGAGGGACGCATCAGGAACAGGGCCCGGTGTGTGCAGGATGCTAGTCCCCATGCTGAGGTTGGGTACACAGGTTCCTTCTCAAGAAGGTGGGCTGGGTAGGTCCAAATCCTGATTCTGGCTGGAATTGTGCCCATAATCTGGCAGGAGACTGAGCATGAACCTCACGGGGTGAGTCTAGGTCAGGGGTATCAAACTCATTTTCACCAGGGGCAACATCAGCCTTGCAGTTGCCTTCAAAGGGCCAAATGTAATTTTAGGACTGTGTACATGTAACTACTGCTTAACTAGGGGCAAGGAGCTCGGCGCTGCCACCAGGTAGAAGCAAGGTGCTGGGCTGGATAAAACAAGGTGGAGTGGGCCGGACCTGTCTCCGTCCCTGTGTGGAGGGCGGTTTGCAGATGTCCTTGGGACCAGGTCCGACCTGGGCAGGGCTGCTCCAGAGATGAGACCCTTGGGCCCTGGTGCCTCAGTGTCCGTCCAGAAGCTCTGAAAACTGAGATACGTCAGCACAGCTCCATTCCTGGAAGTGGGTCAGAGCCTTTGGCCACAAAGCAGGCTACGTTTAAGGATATTTTGTAAAAGGTTCTCTTTATCTTACATGGAATACCAGTGATTCCACCAGGCTTTCCCCTGAGCCTGACTAGATGGGTCTGGTTGACACCCCGTGGGGGGTGGGGGGCTTACGTGATCAGTGATAAGATGGACATGGGCTAGGGATGGGGTGGGGCCTGGAGCCCAGCCACCCCCGTATGCTGGCTATGGACGGGGTGAGCAGTTCTGGTCACCAGCAGATGAGACGCAGGCCAGTAGGTTGCCTCCCTCACCTTGTCTCCCCGCTGACAGGGAGACCACACATCCACCAGGCCCTGTCTTTTCTCCCCTCCTCCCAGGGGTGCGTCAGTTTGTTGTTTAAGATGTTTGTTTCTGTCTTTTCAGATACGTGGCCTGTTCTTAATCTGTTTAGTGAAATAAATGGAAATCTTACTGCAGTATTTTGCTACATTTTGTAATTGTGAATCAATGCCAGAATGCAGTTGCTAATATAAAGGACTCATTCTAAGTCAGCTGAAATACTGGGGGAGGAGCAGGGACAGACAGACTCTGGGGTATAATCTGTTTTTCCTAAAATGGAGGGAAGTATATTCTCCAGATTTTATAAGTAGCCAGTTCAAAACACCAAACTCTGAAACTCAGGACAGTGACACCGTGCTTGCCTTTGATGTTGCTGGATCAGACCGCCCACTGTCCGCAGTCACGCTGACGGTTCGCTGTTGGGTATTGGGGGGAGGAGGGGGGAGGCCATTCGGGAAAGTGGTCCTTGAAGTTATGTGCCAGCTTCACGTGGAGGCCATTGCTTCTTGGCGAGTATGTACCTCACCGCACCTGCTCATGACAGATTTTAGCATTTTACATATTTCGTGTGTCTCTGCTTTAATGTCATGACAGCACCTTCTCTGAAGTGTTGGTTTTTGATGGCCACGAGCCAGGTGAACCCTGACAGGACACTCTCCTGTTTTCCCAGCAAGAGCAGCAGAGGAAGTTGTCGCGTAGTTGTCATGTGTTCAGGCCGCGTCAGGGCAGTGGGGCGGCGTGTGGCCTGGGGCTGTGCAGTCTCAGTCCTGGAAGCAACAGTGAGAGGCACAGGTGAGCCAAGTCTGCTGCATGTTCCCTGCTCCCCTGGGACTCCATGCAGGTGCCCCAGACGACCTCCAGGGTGGGACGACACTCCCCTTTCCCACATCTGATAGGAGCTTCACCACTCACATTGGGGCAATTTTTGTAATTTTTTATTTTGAAATACTTTCACACTTAACTCAGAAGTTGCAAGAATGGGACAAAAGGACCCTCTTTTGTCTGCTACGTCCATTTCCCCTCTTAACTTTTTGCCACATTTGTGCTAACATTTTCCCCCTGTACCTAGGTACGTGTTGTTTTCTGAAGTATTTCGGAGTAAATTGCAGACATGATGCACCTTTACTCTTGAATACTTTTGTGTATACTTCCTAAGACTGAGTATTTTCTTATGTAACCTTAGAGTAGCAGTCAGAATCAGAAGTAAACCACATCACAGCGATGTGTAATCGGGAGAACTTACACGTTACCAATTGCCCAACCATGTGATGAGTGTCGTCCTTGGCGCCTCACATCAGGAAGCACAGGGTGTCTGTGTGCCCCCTCCCGCTCCTGGGACTCTCGTTGAAGGTGATGTTCTTGGCCATGGTCAGCACTTTTCCGTTTGTAATCGGGGGGGAAGTGTGCAAAGGAGGGAGAGCTTTCCTTTCTCCCTTCTGTTTGTTTCACTTACCAACTTAAGTCCATGGGTCCTTTTGTAATTCAGTGGGTTATCACGGCTCACCCTCAGTACTTACTTTGACGCTCAGAGTGTCACAGGTTTTCGCCAGCGGCAGCTGCCTGTGTGTTTTCACCGTTCACTGAGCATGAAGTGCAGCGGTAGGAGAGGCCCATGGGCAGCGTGTTGTGGGACCGTAAATGGGTTTGTAGCTCAGTGACCTGCACCCACACGGTGTCCCGATGGTGGCCTGGCTGCCATGGCTCCAGGACTCTCAGGGGAGGGCCCAACTACAGGTGAGCCTGGGGCCGATAGTCGCCGTCCAGGGACAGGACTTCCCAGAGGCCAGGCCTCTGTCTGAGGCTTTGGGAAGCGAGGGGACGGCTTGCAGGGAGGCGAGTGGTGCAGTGTTGCCTGTGCTTCCGAAGTCTTCCCGAGTCGTCCTCTTCCTGGCAGGTGGCACCTGCTGTCCCTTTGTTTCTGAATAGTCTCTGCTAGTTTCTTCACCACTGAGAAGGGTTGTGAGGGCAGTTCCGGGTCTTGGCCATGTCTGCTGGAGGGGGTGTCCGCACGTGTGGGCCACGGTCCTCCGCGGGCGCAGGTTGCCGTGTGCTTGCCACTGGTTCTCAGGGTGGTGTCTCCTGGGACAGGGTTCGTGGCCATGGGTCAGGCTTGCAGTCTGAGGCTGTGGAGCCTGTGCTGGACATTCAGATGTAAAAACTCGTGCTCTTGGGATAATTAGGCCCATCCTCTAACCAGCATGCCCCTCACCCCTCCATACCAAGGCTCGTCCAGCCCGAGTCGCTCCGTGCCCATGTCTCCTGCTGTGGGTGAACAGTGACTTGGGATGTCCCGGGTGGTGGGCTGCAGGGGCCCGCGGCACATGAAGTTGTGACAGACTCTAGATGGGCCAAGAGGTGGGTGAAAACCCTCTCATTGTTTGATCACAAGGAACAGTGTGTCTTTTGTTCACAAGTCCTACTTCCTACTTGTGTATCAGGCGTGTGCGGGCACGAAACAAAGGAACGACCTGGAGACGGAAGCTCAGCAGTGAACCAGACAGAGCAGAGAAGAAAGGGGCTCACACACTGGTTCTGGTGGAAGCAGGAGTTTAA